ATTCACCAGTACTGGTTATTTCCCGGAAAAAGTTGTTCATGCAACTATGTTTTTTACCGACATCTGACCAAACCAAATTTTAACAGTATGTACAGTGATTGCAGCATTATCCTCGGATGCCCCTCCCTCTTTTTTAATGCTCCCCGAAAAAATCGGGGGAACATATGGTCGCCGCCTTGTCCGTCCGTCCATCCGTCTTTCCGTCCGTCCGTCCGCTTTTCTTGTCAGGGACATAACTTTGAAACAACAAGATGTATTTTGAACTTTGAACTTTGTCCGGGTCATAACTGTAAAAGTATAAGAGGTATCAACATGAAACTTTGTAGGTAGATAGATCTCATTGAGTATGTTTGCAGTGCAAAAGAATCGTAACTCTGCCTTGCCTAATTTTTGAATTACCCCCCTTTGTTTATTTCACACTTTGAACATTGTCCGGGTCTTAACTCTAAAACTATAAGAGGTATCAACATGAAACTTTATAGGTAGATAGATGTCATTGAGTATGTGTACAGTGCACAAGAACTGTAACTCTGCCTTGCCTAATTTTTTAATTATTCCCCTTTGTTTATTTTTACACTTTGAACTTTGTCCGGGACCCTACTGTAAAAGTATAAGAGATATCAACATGAATCTTTGTAGGTAGATAGATCTCATTGAGTAGGTGTGCAGTGTACAAGAACCGTAACTCTGCCCTGCCTATGTTTTTAATTATTCCCCTTTGTTGTTTTTCACACTTTGAACTTTGTCCAGGACATAACTCTAAAACTATAAGAGGTATCAACATGAAACTTTGTAGGTAGATAGATCTCATTAAGCAGGTTTGCAGAACACAAAACTGTAACACTGTCTTGCCTACTTTTGGAGATATTGTCATTTGTTCATTTTGACACTTTGAACTTTGTCCGGGACATTACTCTACAATTATAAGAGATATCAACATGAAACTTTGTAGATAGATAGGTCTCATTGGGTAGAAGTGCAGTGCTAAAGAATCATTACTCTGCCTTGCCTTATTTTGAAGTTATTGCCCTTTGTTTATTTTTACTTTTTTTGGTTTTTGTCCGGGACATAACTCTAAAACTATTAGATATATCAACATGAAACTGTGTAGGTAGCTAGATATCATTTGATAGAACTGCAATGCTTAAAGAACCTAAACAAAGCCTTGTCTAATTTTAGAGTTATTACCCTTTGTTCATTAACATAACTCTGTAACTATAAGAGATCTCATCAGGAAACTTTATAGATAGATCTCATTAAATAGAAGTGCAGTGCAAAAACATAACTCCGCCTTGCCTAATTTTGGAGTTTTTGCCCTTTGTTCATTTTTTTTTATACTTTTCTGTGTCCAAAACCTTCTCGGGGAGCATCATCCGGTTCAACCGGATCTTGTTATTTCAGAAAAGATCTGGTACCTTAATAGAGTCAGCGACGTTACGCAAGCAAGCCTCCTCATATAAAAGAATCCAAAGTCCCTGGCCTGATTCTACATTTAAAATAAACAGAAACTTAGTGAAGGGGAGTAATTGTGAAATTGATCAAGAGTATAAACTACACTTCGCTAGTCTGAACAATTCGTAAAGAAAAAATGTCTGAAATACTGGAGTAACTACTCAATTAAAGAGCTAATAAAAGCAAGCTCTAGAAGGGCACCATTCTACGATTGATTTGTCTTTTGAATCAAGAATCATGTGCTTGAGCCCTTATCGGATCGTGGCTATGTTTCCAGTAATTGTCATTTCCAGGAAGCGTCAATAAGTTGTTCTTGCACTAAATGCCTTGTAGAGTGCGGTTGTATGGACGTGGAACAGACATTAAACCATATTAAAATGGTGCAAATTTGGAAGGTGATAGTCGAGCACGGTCACCTGCGAAACAGATATCGATGAATTGTCTAACATCCATAGTTCAATCGGTTCCTGGATAATTAGTTATGATTAATGCAAATGGTATGAACACGCCTACAGTTAGAAATACTCTGCAGAGCTTAGCGCCTCTCTCTCTATTAGGATTCCTTTAATAGATTTCACACAAAGAGGTGTCTAGCTAATAAATCCATCAAGACTATAATTAAACGCTTAAACAGCGGTTCAGTCATCCTTAGTCAAGGTAACGTTGCCAGCCTCAAAATGTATCGTTACTCTGACATAGGATGAGCGAACCCTTGTTTTGTATATTGAGATATCCTATTCAGGTGTTGTGTAACATTACTGTTACTGTTAAAAATTGAAACCAATTAATGGAAAAATGGGGCAAACTTATTATTTTTCAGTTATATTGGTCTTCTTAAATGAACATGTTTTTTTTTTATATTTTATGTCATTTTCAAGAGCAGCTCACAACAATCTGTAGAAACACCGAATTCTTGATTTTTATAGTTCATATTTGTTACATGTAATGACTTCTGACAAATATTTCAGACAAACCAAACAACATGATACTACTAATGTGTCTCCTGCAGAATCAGGACTGAAGAGTTACATAAATCAGAAGTATTTATAATTATCCATATTATAACAAGACTTTGGCATGAACGTCCGTTTACTGCTACACTATTGGTTAAGTATGTGACCGACACGGATCATATGGCCACTTTCCAGCTTTACTGGTGGAGGAAGACCTCAAGTGCCCCTCTTTACATTATTTCGGGCACAAACAGGCATAGAACCGTTAATGCTATTGACATCAATACAATCAGACAAGCTTGTAAGAATATGAATTTACTATCAAAAGACATCAGAAGGACAGCATGCTGGACTATTCTCGGTGATTGATAGTAAACAAAACCCTGAATAATATATAATTTTCCAAATTCAAAAAGGTCCATCATTCTGTCAAAATCTGTGTTATATTATGGTCGTTTGAAAAATGCCTCCTACTATGCTATCAAATGATAGTGTGTGAAGTTAACCTATTCCCTAGTTCACAAAACTTCAAATAAACTTAACGGAAGTGTAATGGCGACGCTACCAAATAGTGAAGTTAATACTATTTTATTAGATATAGATCTAGCTGTATACTCTTTAATTAAAAACAAAATTGACAATGAAATGTAAACCAAGAAGACATTTTGTTCATTTAAAAGTCTTCACATTTTTATACATCACATATATAGCACTTTGTCAAACATATAACACAATAATTAATAAGATACATACTTTGTGTATCCTTTTAATATTGGAACACCGACATATTAAGTGTGATCATTTTCAATCAGTATTTAACCAGGCCAGTCTGTAAATTGTACAGTCTGATCAGGCACTGTACGAAACAGTAGTCACTATTACTATTTTGTTAAGTAAATCCTTTAACACAAATGGAGACTGTGATAATTTCCAACAACAACTTAATTATGCCCATTATGCCTCTGAAATTCTTTTATTCTTATTTCTCAAAAGCTTTTTTGTGCACTTATAAATTCAAGTTTCCAAAAAGATAAGATACCAATCGAATTATCATTTTGCTGTTACTTTTTGAGTACAGTAACAGAGATTTAATTGTATTTTGTATGAAAATCAAAATACTACTTTATTTACATTTGCTAACTTTTGACAAGTAATTTCTCATTTAACACTACTTTCTATAAGTAGCAAGCATCTTACATTCTTAAAAACAATTAAATTGTTATAAAGCTCATACCTGCCTTTTTAAAGAAGCAAACATTTGTTTGTTTCTGAGGCATAATGTGCCTTTATTACTGGCTTTCTATGTTATAGCCATTTATATATTGTCTCCTTAGTGCATTAATGGGTTAATTCCTTGTTTGAAACAATACTTGCTAACCCGTAAGGTTAATAACTGTACATTTGTATTATTTTGTATCAACAATATATGTATGTTTTACAAAAGTTTGTTACATTTTCGTACGGCTAATAAAAAAAAATTCCAAATTTAAAAGACACTTGCTCTTGTAACTGACAATAAGTACTTTTTCGAAGTTTAAAAAAAAAACATATTGTCATTTTAGAAATCTTTAAAATATAAAAATGTTTTTTACATACAGGGTAATAAGTAGCTAAAGAGACTTCAGCGAACAGGTTTTATAGTACTGCTAGACCTGTTCGCTAAAGCCAATCCCGTATCGAAAGTCAACCAGAACTGTGACATATTTATGTCATGCTGTAATTCAATTAATTAGCATTATCTGGACAAAACTATTTTAATACATATAATAATATATATACATTGTACACTTTAGTCTATACCTTTGATCAAAGAAGATTAAATTGATGACTGTTCGCTAAAGCCAATCCCGTATCGAAAGTCAACCAGAACTGTGACATATTTATGTCATGCTGTAATTCAATTAATTAGCATTATCTGGACAAAACTATTTTAATACATATAATAATAATATATACATTGTACACTTTAGTCTATACCTTTGATCAAAGAAGATTAAATTGATGACTTGCGAGAATTTAGTTTCGGATGCCTTTGCATGACCTGTGACCCAAATGCTATTTCTAATTGAAAACATGGCTTTGCAATTATGAATAACGGTGTATTTATTCAATAAAAAACGTTGTACCAGAGTGAAGATTCATAAATGATTTATTTGGTATTTATTTAAAATCGTACAGATATAAAATACTTAATAACTTAACTAAGTGATTGATCACCATCATGAGACAATGTGCAGAGGACAATAATTGGGTTGCTACTCTCAAGGTCAAGGTCACACTTAAAGGTCAAGTGTTTAAAGTATACATTTTGTGCTGCTTAAAAATTCAATTTAGTTTAACATAGGTAAAAATTTTGCATACTTCATCATAGTACTTCATACTTACATAATGACATTCTAAGTGGTTGAAGCTACAAATGTTCACAGATTTGTTACATGCAACATTTTCACAGGTACAAATATTCATGGAAATGTATCCACCGTGAAAAACAATAACTTAAAAAAAGCAAAATAATTTCTAGTAATACAGTAGATTGTGCACGTTTGCTATTGATTTTAATGATGTTTATGTTCTTGGAATCTTCTTTCCTTTCAGAATAGGCAGAATAGTATGTATGGATTATTTGCTGTACATATTTTGTGATATTGAGAAAATAATTGATATTGAGATAATAATTGTTAATTTAATTTCAGAACAGCACGAAGAGTGTCTTCTTTCATTGTTTCAAAACAAGGATTATAATGAATATAACGTTCAAGTTATTCTTGCTGCTCATTTGTTTGGACCATTGGCTGGTGGTTACAAGATTGGAAACAAAGGTTTCCCAAAAGATGCAAGAAGATGTCCAAACTGTGGCAAAGATATTAGTGGAAAACTTAAAAATATATCACTTGGTAATTAACCATTTACATGTATATTCTTAGTTTGATGAAATTAGTGTTAATTATTGTCTTAGAATTATATTTCTTGCTAAAGTGTAATATGCTATGTATTAGATCAAGATCTGTAGCATAAGTTGCATTTAGACTAAATCAAAGTAATCATTCTTTAAAAGAAACAATGTAGACTCTTCCTGGCGTAGTACTACATATAAGTAGATCAGCAATTTTTTTTCTTTTTGTTTTTATACTTAACAGGCCTTTTCCCAGTGTCTCCATTCTCAATGGCAATTATACTTAGGTTTACCCTTTCTATAAAAAATATGTCCCAATTAAAACTAAAATTGCAAACAAATTATTTGTTATTTCCTTTGTTCACATATTTAAAACAATTCATCAAATGTTCAATTTGATTCGATTTCAGGCAGCCCGATTGGATTATTTTCAATTAAATAAATTATCTGATTACTTTTTTTGGCCGGGTTGCACTGGTGCAAATCCGGGTTATAGTATGGTGAATGTCAGGCGGCGGGCGGGCAGGCGGGCGGGCGAGCGGGAAAATATTTTCGTAACAGTTTTCTCAGCAACTACTTATCACAGCCTCTTGATATTTGGCATACAGCATTGACACATGGTCCCATACCGTGGGATTCGATTTCAGGTCTGTCGCTCATCCACTTCCTGTTTATCCACTTAGTTAAATTAGTTAGATTTTTCGACATTAATGGTCAATGGTAGGAAATTTTCGTAACAGTTTTCTCAGCAACTACTTATCACAGCCTCTTGATATTTGGCATACAGCATTGACACATGGTCCCATACCGTGGGATTCGATTTCAGGTCTGTCGCTCATCCACTTCCTGTTTATCAACTTAGTTAAATTAGTTAGATTTTTCGACATTAATGGTCAATGGTAGGAAATTTTCGTAACAGTTTTCTCAGCAACTACTTATCACAGTCTCTTGATATTTGGCATACAACATTGACACATGGTCCCATACTGTGGGATTCGATTTCAGGTCTGTCGCTCATCCACTTCCTGTTTATCCACTTAGTTAAATTAGTTAGATTTTTCGACATTAATGGTCAAAGTAGGAAATTTTTGTAACAGTTTTCTCAGCAACTACTTATCACAGCCTCTTGATATTTGGCATGCAGCATTGACACATGGTCCCATACTGTGGGATTCGATTTCAAGTCTGCAGCTCATCCACTTCCTGTTCACATTAATGGTCACTGGTAGGAAGTTTTCGTAACATTTTTCTCAGAAACTACTGATCAATGCCTCTTGATATTTGGCATACAGCATTGACACATGGTCCCATACTGTGGGATCCGATTTTAGGTGTGTAGCTAATCCACTTGCTGTTTACCTACTGAATTAAATTTTCGACATTAATGGGTCAATGGAAATTTTTTTTCGTAACATCACAGCCTCATGATATTTGGTGTACAAATGTAACCCGGCCTTTTCTGTCTTTGACCCATTTTTTGTCTTTTGTTTGCAATCCTTTAAAGGGACTCCACTGAGGTTTTTTTGTCATGATGGGACTGAAAATATTTATTCCAGATAAACGTACCATTTGATGAAGGTTTAGACCACTAATCTTTGTGCAAAATTTCAGATCATTTGCGCACTGCGTTTTTCCACAATAATTATTCAAATTGTAAAAAAATGACGTAAAATGAAAAGGGTTTGAATGCTTTTCACTCCAATTGGGCTAAGAAAAGCATAAAAGTACAATTTTTTAATTTATTTCAAAGTATATTTCTTAACTATCTTTTGCATACCGTATATTTCTGTTTAAAGTGCCCCAGCTCATTTATGTTAGAAAGTCAAATGTTATGTTTTTAGGCTTTTAAACCCTTTAAAGTGAGTGGCACTTAACTTAGTTTTTTTGTTTTGTTTTTTGCATTTCTTTAGTTGTATCACATTATTTCAACTTATTTGACTTTTTATTATTAGAAGTGTTTATTAATCCCATTCCACAAAGCCAGGTTGGAATTATAGGAATGGCCTCCACCTGTCAGTCTGTCTGTTTGTTTGCCCGTCCTTCCATCTATCTGTCCCTCTGTCCATCTATAATACTTTTGTGTCCACTCCATAACTTTTAAACCGCTAAAAAACTTTTGAAATAACTTGGCACAAGAAGGCACAAGTGATCTCCATTATGAGATGATGTGAAGAGCGCAATATTTGGGTTGCTACCCCAAAGATCAAGGTCACAATTTAAGGTCAAGTGATAAAACGTCTTCATTTCGTGTCTGCTCCATAACATTTAAACTGCTGCAATATTTTAAGATAACTTGGCACATATGATCACCATTATGACACCATATGCAGAGCACAACAATGAAGTCACTACCCTCAAGATCAGGGTCAAACTTAAAGGTCCAATTTTAAAACATCTATTTTTCATGCCGGCTCTATAACTTATTTATAATTCAAAGGTTTTAAATGTACTTGGCACAAATGATCCCCACCATGACACAGTCTGCAGAACACAACATACATCCAGGTTGCTACCCCAAAGTTACATCTAGGTTGCTACCCCTATGGTCAAGGTTGCATGTTCTCCATAACTTTATGACCTTTTGGCAGCCCTTTTTGGAAGATTTTGAATAACTTGGCACTTAACAAATAATCACCATCATGAGACTGTGCTTATGATATGCATGGCACAACATCAAGGTCATGGTTGGTTAAAGGTCAAGAAATACTCATTCATATCTGCTGCGAAAGGGGATTTAGCTGTCCTTCAGACTGCCTTGTGAAAATCATTTTTGATTAACTTTAAATTTGAATAAAACAAATTTGTTGTCTCACGTACGGATTGCTGTTTTATTTATTGTTTTAATGGCGGGTATATAGATTCTTTGTGGACTCCATATACTCATCAGGTCAACCTCACCCTTTATTTTCGCTTTGCATATTCAATCAGGGAGCTACATACTAGACATATCCAAGTCTGAAAACAATAAATGTTAATGTTTGATATGCATGTATCTTTAATTAATAAATTAGCTTTAATTAAAAATTAAAATTGGAAGCGTTAAAAATTATTTTCACCGATTGAACGGCTATACAGAAGATATCATACATGTAGGAATATACCTTAAATATGATCAGTATGTCCCTTTATTGTAAAGTTTTAACAAGTTTTATCAAATATTGCTAAATTCAACCACTTTTGCTGTGAATAACTTCACAATCAACAGGGATTGCCGTGTGAGTTTTGTTAGTAAATTAAACTTCATACAATCTCAAAGTTTTTATGCATGTCCCTTCAGCGTTGATTTACCAAAGTAAATTTACCTATATATTTGTATACCATCAGGTCATGGAGATGTGTGGCATGGACATGCAGATATACTTGTGAAAGGAAGTGTAGTCAAGGTAGTATCTGAAGAGGATGATTCCGATGAAGAGGATGGAAGTTCTGAACAATTGCAAAAGAAAATGAGAACTGAAAGTATTGAAGATGATGAAAGTTCAGAGTCAGGTGAAGATTATGACAGCAGTGTTGAAAAAGGAGAGAAAATGAATGCAATAAGTGATCATGCATTGTCACAGACATTGGCGCAAACAATAGTTAATGCATTTGCAGAAGTGAGCAATAATCAAAAGTTGTTCAGTTCCTTTATACCGTCTTTTATTGCAACTTCTAAAGTTATAAGAATAACTATGTACAACTGTAAATTGGATAGTCTGATAATGACAGATTATTTGGATATCTTCAAAGTGATCGGGCCCAAACGCGTCTTAAATTTATCAACTATCATTAGTATCTGGTTTGCCTTGAATTTTGAAAATTATTTTGATAAAACTAATGACCTCTATCCTAAATTTGAAGAGGGACACATAAAGTCAAATTTTAAAGAACATGCTTGTGAAATGTTTGAGATATATAAAGAAAAGTGTACCAAACCTATGTCACAGGCAGAAATGAATGAAATTGTTGAAAAATTTAGATTGAAAAAACAAGGTATTTCATTTTTCTTTGATGTATTAGATAAAGCATTTTCACAGATTTGAAATATGGTAGACGGCTTAACTAATATTATCAGACCTTTTTTTTTAGCTTGACTATTCAAAGAACAAGGAGAGCTGTATTGTACTAACCCAGGCCTCGGCTTCTGTTAAGATTTTGCATGCAAGTTGGTATCTCAAAAATTACTGAAGGGAATCGATGGAAACTTCACACATTTATTTGAGAGCATATTAGGTCAGTGTTTAAGACCAATAGCTCTTATGTGGATTTTGACAAAATTATGTCCCTTTTTAAACATAAACTATAGTCGCACGCATCTTAACTATGATGATTTTTACTATAGCTTGCCATAATAATAAAAATATATGTATGGATTGTACTCATATTTTAACAAAACTCTTAAGTCAGTTATTACCTTGATTTTGATGGTCAAAATATTGTATTTTCACTCGATTCCACCTCAACCCCCATTATGATTGACTATTACTTTGTAATACATGAAATGATTGTCTTTATACTTGGACAAAAAATCTATCTTAAATTTTGTAAATTAGTTAAGTTCATGCAATGTTGCTGTATAAAGCTACATGTAGATGTACACTACATACATATATATAGTAAGATATGTGAAGATTATAAAGTTTTGGCATAATTGTGGCTGCACATACTCTTAAAGAATTTTTTTAAGTGAAAGTAAACTGACTTTTTAGCTTCTACATTTGTTCGTTAACACTCTAGCGGTCACTAGGTCACACCACCCAAATATGGAAAAACCATGGTAACAGTAGTTGACACATTTTTTACTCAATTGTCATCAAACTTGGTCAGGATGCTTGTCTAGGTAATTGCTTGGATGAGTTCGAACACGGGTCATCAAATGATTCAAATATCCTGGAAATTGGTCTGAAAGTTTGTTTTTGATGATTTCTAGGTCAAGTTTGAATATGGGTCAACTAGGGTCAAAAAAAGTTACACAACCCAAATATGGAAAAACCTTGTTAACAATCTAGTGGTCACATTTTTGACTCAGTCATAGTCAAACTTAGTCAGGATGATTTTCTAAGTAATTGCTCGGATGAGTCTGAATATGGGTCATACTGGATGAAAAACTAGGTCACAGGAGCTAAAAATAGAAAAAATTTGTTAACACTCTAGTGGCTACTGTTTTGATCCATATATCCTGGAAATTGGTCTGAAATTTTGTGTTGATGATTTTTAAGCCAGGTTCAAATATGGGTCACCTGGGGTCAAACACTAGGTCACACCGCCCAAATATGGAAAAACCTTGTCAGCACTCTAGTGGTCACATTTTTGACTCAATTGTCATCAGACTTGGTCAGGATGCTTGTCTAGGTAAAACTGAGTAATTGCAGTGTCAAGGTCAAAATAAAATTAAACTCAAGGTCAATTTAGTATTCTTTTTAATGTTTTAATGTCTTCTCCAAAAGATGGTTGTGCGAAGTATGAATACAATCAATTCATATGAATACAATCAATTCTTTACTTTAAAAGTAATAGTCAATATGGCAAAAAAGTAAACCCTGTGAAATACAATAATTTGACCTTCAAGGTCAATGCCATTGATGAGTTATTAATTTAATTGAATGTACCTAAAGGCATTGACCTTAAGGTAGATGAATGACTTTTTGCTGAATTATGGAGTCACAGCTTTGGGCTTTGGACCACATGTACAGTTTTAGATGTTAAAATGATGAACTTTGATATCAGCTGACCTAGATTTTGACCAAGTGGCCTACTTTCTTAGCTATGAACTTTGAATCATGTGCAAAGTTTTAAATGTAAAATTGAACTTTGATATCAGCTGACCTTAATTTTGACCTAGTGACATACTTTGGCTTTTTAGCTCACCTGAGCTAGCTCAGGGTGAGCTTTAAGGATCGTTAAATGTCCGTAGTCTCTCGTCCGTCCACATTTATTCATTAACATTCTAGTGGTCACATTTTTGCCAAAATACAACCAAAATAGATATATTTACCAGGAAAATAAGAATTGATTACATTAAAATTAAAATAAAATCACTGACCTATTTTGTTGTTGTTTTTTTAGCTCAGCTGAGCACAAAGTGCTCAAGGGTGAGTTTCTGTGATCGCTGCGTTTATCGTGCATCAGTGCCGCTGTGCGTACTTCAAAAATGGTGTCAAACTCTTAAAACAACAACTCCTCATACACCAATAGGCCAATATTATTTAAACTAAGCAGGAATGTTCCTTGCATGAGAAATACCCAATATTAGTACTCCCAATGTTTACTCTTTTAGCAAATTTCTTAGCCAAGTATGGCTCCGTGAAAATCCTAAACGGCTTGCTGTGCATTGTGTCTTGTAGTTACCCACAACAAAACACAAAATATATAACAGAGAAAATTTGTTCCATACAAGTTAGAGATTTGTAGAGCAATATATTTTGTGTCCCAAACTGATATAACTCAGATTTTCTACTATACAGAATGAAATTTATGCCTGAAAACTCTGGTCAAACTTGTAAATCAGTGTCCTTATCGATTTATTCCAAGAAATGATATATAAATAGAAGAAAAAACTGTCAACGAAATATTTCTAAAATAAAACCATGCAAATAAACTTCAAGCATAATACATTATACATGTGAGAATGCTATTTAGAATTGCTTCGTGTTATCATAGTGGGCATATAGACAATCATAAGTCGTACCATCTTATTTTCTACAAAACTTCTACAAATAAAAACTAAAAACACTCGAATGCAATATGCGAGAACGCTTGTATTTAGGGACAGTACACAAGATGACATAATAAACGTGCAAATACATGTATAGCATGAGGCAATAAATATTGTAATTGGTTAATAAATTTTATCTCTGCCATATAAATGTTTTGCAAATCGTGGTCGACTCGTCCAGGAAAAACCAAAAAACCCTTTTAAAGTTTTTGAATTGATTTCAGTGTTATTTAAGGGAAAATATTTTTGGAAACCTGTGCCCATTTGCCATCACAGGAAAGTGACTGTCAAATACCACCGAATGTTGGGCCTCATCCTTGCAAAACATTTAACATTTATACAAAACGATGTAAAATGTCTACACTATGTTTCCGTTAAAAATTAAACAATACATTTTATTTAGGCAAAGCTTGTACGCTTTTAAAAATTGTACTTTTCACAAAATAATTTTGGCATTGAATTTGCATGTGTGAGTGTCCCTAAGAGTTGCTCGCTAGAAACTGATTTCCGAATATGAAAACCCCGATTAAATACAGCTCGAATCATTCGAGCGAACAATGAATGTACCACGGATTTATATTACAAATAATAATAATATTAATCCGTGAATGTACATAAACCGGTTTTGTATTAAAAACGCTAGTACAAAGGTACTCATCTATACGTTGTAACGATGAGTACCAAATAATAAAAAGTTTGTATTTTTATTTCTCTTGGATATGTCTCATTAAAAATATTTTTGGTTAAAATCATCAGCAATTAATAGTGTACTTTTTATATTTTTGTTATTTACAAGAGGCCAGAGCACATTGTTTTTATTTTAATTTAAATGTCACTTAAGCACTACAGTGTTTAGTTGTCCTTTTCTATTTCACACTAAATTCCATTTTCAACTTGTTTGCTTCTTACAATTGTAGATCTATAGAATTTCTAAAAGTATTGTATGTAATCCGCTGGTTTATTACATCCCTAATCGCCTGTCCAAAAATCAGCACAGGTGAAGCAGAATCTATTTAAGAATAGCGAAGGTTAACTCATATCGAGACCTAGAAAATATGTAAACAAACCACAAGAATCGGAAAGTAGAACTGATATTATAACTTCCTTCAATAAAGATTACCATGAAAGACTACATGGTGGTAAAGTGTTGAAAAACTCTCTTGTTACATGCATTTTCAAAAATAGATATTTATTCCCTGCGGTCTGGAGGGGTATTGGTACGCGTTTAATTTTTGAGGCATGGAGGAGCACGTGACCTGTTTTTGGTACATGGACAGATCATGTGATCTGTAAACCGTATATGATTGGTTAATTGACCTTTTCGAAAACCCAGCTAAATACCGTTTGCCGGTACGTTACGGATTTACCTGTAAGTCCGAATTATACCTAATTGAGAACAAAAATCTATTACGTGATATTTCTAATTTTCTATAATTATTTTACCGTTTAAGGTGGAAAATTTGAATGGTGTGTTTGAAAATTATCAATGTTTTTTTAATATCTATCTCAAATTTTACAAACAATAAATTGTTTATACTGAAAATCTACAAAATTAAAATATTCGTAGTGGCATCTGCCATTATAAATAGAGATATTTTCTGCGTAAACTTTTGTGTTTACTTTATTTATTTTTTGCTAGGAATTATTCATAAAATGGTAGGCCTATTTAATCATTTTCATAAAAGGAAATAATTGTTTTAAAATTATGTTCGACCTTCTCCGGTCTTCAACGGTCACATGCAGTTTCCAAAGACCTTCTTCTATATTGTTCGATTATTGTCAAATATATTCCTGTTACAAACGTTTATTTATCCCCCCCCCCCAAATAATGTTGAAAATAGTTAAATGAAATATCTTTATATCATTAAAATGTTCACCGCAGGAAACCATTTTACTTGTACTAACCATTGTACTGTATCTAATTTATTGATATCTGCTGAATATTCAGCTAAACCCGCGGTATGAGTCATGAAAATAGTTCTTCTTTTATTAATGCGCGAGTTATTCTAGAGTCACGAAAAACTTTTGATTTGTTAATAATAATGTTTTGTATAATGCAGAAATATTTATTTCCTACTAATAATTTCTTGGAACACAGAGCTTACACTTTTATTATAGTATTAGTTGCTGTCAGCGGTAAATCGTTTCGGCAGTAATTTGCATATTTAGCAATAATACTACGGGACTACAACGTTTTTATCAATCATATACGTTCACATTTTAACTTGGATAACTTAATTTGAAATTGAAAAGGCTAAATATGGAAGATATTAAGATATCCCGACAAAGTATGGGAGTTTTAAAGGATCAAATTCATGTACTATTTCTTGGGCTGTTAATCGGTTGAGGACACCTTGCGCGATTGTAGCCGACGAAATCCCATGTGTAGATGACTTAGCTCTGAACGCGCCTGAGGGCGCGTCCGTCGCAAAAATTGATTTGTGCTTCGGATATTCAACTAATAGAGGACGATTTTCAATGCTGATTGACTGTTCACATCATTTGGCGGCGTCTTTGATGTGCATCATCAACATTTAACTTGTATTATAGTTGTATGATGTGGATTAACATATTTGCAATTTTGTTACTAAACTTTGCTCCATTTAACGACACAATTTTTTTATTTTATGTCGTCTGCTACTACATTTAGTTACTAAGTCTTGTTTACCTCTACTTCGTTTGTCTATGCGTGAAATTAGTCACGACTCAGTTAGTTTCATCACACAAAGTCTCCATTCTCTTAACAAGAAAGAATGCGGAAGATAAAGAGTTTATGTACAGTATCTGTCCAATTTCAAATGTTTTTTTCTTAAATAGGACACACTAAAATATAAAACTAAAATTGGGTTGAATTTCAAAGTAAGATGAGCATTTATTATATTGTCATGGAAATGCCACAGTAACATTTGCGGTGCGCTTGCTTGCATATAATGGCATTATAACGACTGGCGTGTGCGCGAATGCGTGCGTGTGTGTGTGTGCGCGCGCGTGTGTCAGTTTAAGATTATATATAGTGAACTTATTTTTTATATGACAAACCACATGTCAAATAACTAAAAAAAGGTAAACATGTAATCGAAAGAGCATCGAAACACGAAGCTATCTGATTTGTACGAGGGGACATAGCCCCCAAGTATTAATCAGATTGCCAAGTGTTTTGGTGTTCTTTCTCTTTTGTATCATAGTCAAACATAAAAACACGTTCCCTGTTGTCACAATATTAGTTCTGGCTTCCATAACTTTATATGTCGCTTTTATTTTGACGTTGTGCGAACAGGTCTAACAGTACTATAAAACCTGTTCGCTGAAGTCTCTTTAGCTATCACAATATGAAACCCCAGAAAAATGTAAGGTTCCAATGAAGAAGCTGGCTTTCCCTTTCTCTGCCGTCACAATAAGTAACCCCAGCAAAATGAGCCAATCAATGGGCATTCTCTGGAGTGCGGGTAACTAATACCTGCACTCCAGTTAACGCACTGTGCATGATACGATTTAACCCTGACACATTTTCAACAGAAAGGTCCCCAAAATATGATACAATATATTCTAATATATTTAGTATGACTTCAGTTAAGAATTAAATTAAAATAATCTAAAGCATAAACCAAAGCCCACCGTACTATCAAATGGGTAGACAACCGTTCAACGCATCGACAGTCGTACTAGTATTGACGGACAGTAAGTATTGGGTAAGTATTTATCTATTTTTAACATATCCCAACTGTGTTCAAGTTAATCAATGTTATGGATTCATAGTCGACATCTAAAAGAGCCTGTTTACAAAATGTCCCTGTGAGTTAATTTTGATTGAAAATAACTACAATTAATGATGAGATGCGGCATATATTTTTTGTTAATAAAAGTCACATAAATTTACGGTTTCTTATAAAAATAAATCATTTATTTTAAGATACGATTAGTAAACGTCAACACTTTGTCATTAAATATTCCAAACCATACATTCAACAATGCTTTTCTTTTAAAGACATATGATGGGGTATTAAATTTTGAATGTCTTCAAAATTCAAGTAACATCATCAACCGTTTGCTAACATCGACTTGCACAATGAATAAGGCTGTTAACTGTTCAACGAAACATTTTTAGGGCGTTTTGTGCAAAGAGTTAAACCTTTTTTGTTCACTTCAATATACATAAATTCATTTTTTTATTTGATTGCAAAGACATGTGTTTAAAAACAATAATAAAATATTAATGTACTGTAAACAAGTTTTAACCTCGTTGAAGGTAAAATGTGTCATTTTCAGTTGCTTCTATTGTCTATTTTCTATAGTTTCATTGAAGCTGGGTACTCAGACCGATGTGTGCACGTCAATTTTGTGTGACTTTTAAAGGTACTTATTATTATATTTCAGTCAGTTGTCAGATGTCAGTTTTTTTAGTAAATAGTTCTATTTTACATAAATATTCGTCTACAATAAATTACGAATCATTGTTGTTAGGCGACCAGGAATATTTATTAACCAAAAGTAATAAATTTGAAGCTTTTTTTTGTGAAAATTCAAATTCATCTAATTAACCCTTAACCTGCTGAACGATGGACTTTGTTCAATAAAGACAAAGAAATTATTGACAAGCATTAAACAGTTTATTTTTTAACAAATGTATTAACCTTCTTTTCACATACAAGTAACCTTGTGAACGTTTTATAAGGATTATTAGAAATTATAGCTGGGATAAAGAAAAATCACATTTAATTGTGAAACTGATCGAGTTAAACGTAAAACATTTAGGACAATAGCAAGTACATCAGTTAAAATACCTTTTGAACTCTATCTGGCAAGAGGCCAAATGGAAATTCCCATAACATTACGACTCGGATTGGGCAAGTCACTTTTACATCTGTGTGCTATGGAAAATTAAAATGGAGAGGTATATTAACTTTTTTTTACATGAAATAATTGAATAATCGAGTATGTTTCATGTATCTTGTGTTTTTGTACGTTAATTATCGCATGGTGCTGTGATTTTTCTATGATGTTTCTCAACAACATGCTTTATTGACAACGAGGTGATTCTTAACGCACAGTGCGATATCTCAGATACCGCACCCTTCTGTAGAAAAAGTGTGCGTTATTTCATATAAAGCACAGTTATGTTAGTACACTTAATTTATATATTAATAACTGTAACTGAGGGTCACTGGACTGTACCAACATTTAGGCTGAAAAAGAGGAAGTAGAAAAAAAGAGGAATTTATTCAGATTTGGGATAGGTAATGGGGTACTGGGGATAGTGCTTGCAGTGAAGAAAGAAATTTGTCTGGTGCATTATAAACCTTTTAATCCTTTTTCCTGAACGTAATTTGGTGCTTGTAGGCACTCCTCTATAAATCTTTCATGAGAAGGAAGTCCTTGAGAAATATGACAATAATCGTTTTTATTGAAATACATTTAAAATCCATCTCTTGGCAAGTCAGTTAAAATGCTGATCAGAAGGCGGTTAACGTAATACTAGCCCGTCACAAAGATGATGGTATTGGTAGTTTCCACTAGCAAGCCACATTGAATTTACCAAAGCACATGTCAGTCACCGCATCGTTCTTTGACATTTTCATCATCGTGCCACCGTCTTCCGTTGGTCATGCGCAATGGTACATTTTTATCAACACTGTATGCCTTCACATTTTTTAACCCCGCACCCTTTCGTTTTGCATATCTTTTAGATCTTAGTAAAAAATAAAAAAACAAAAGGCAATCGCTCAAAAATTAAAAATAAAAAGTTGTCACCCATATGAAGTTTCAAGATGATACATGTATATTAAATACTGCAAAAGAAAAATTGCCACTATATATTAAGCATATATAAGCATATATTAAATAGTCTCTTATCAATATACAGTATAATGACATAACTGGAAAATTTAATGCGAAGATAACAGGTTTTATTTTTTATAGCTCAAATAAAACACTAAGTATTCTAAACTTGATTTCACTATCTGACGTATCAGAATCTGACATCTTTCTGTATGTGTACTGGTTTTACTGACCGCAAAGCGATGGTACGATGGCACAATGGTGAAAACGCGATGGCACGATGGTGAAAACGCGATGGCACGATGGTGAAAATGGATAAAAGAATATTAAAACGTTAAAAACAGGGGCTGGAAATGTTCGATGTAGGCTACATGGCTGCACTGAACTGCTCTGGGGTAGGGAGTAGGGCTACTGCAGGGGGTAGGTGGTTCCAGTGGTATACCGTCATAGGAAAGAATGAAAATTTATAATAGTCTTAGGTTGCTGTGAATAAACTATAACATAAGGGCTGGCCATGGCGTGATGTTCGGGACAGGTGTGTCAAATATTCTTCTATGGGGATAGCAACCAGAACATGGGGGGACCTTATAGAAAAGGAATAACCTAGCATTTATACTTCTGAGTTCCAGTTTTCTAAGCTTAAGGGAGTGAAGCATGCCCGTGACGCTACAGGTCTGACAATAATCTAGCTTAATCCATCGGGCTGCTCTTCTTTGGACATTTTCGATTACATCTATTTGTGTTTTGGTGTGGGGAGACCATATATCGGAACCATATTCAAGCTGGGGTCTGACTAACGTCTGGTAAGCAATGGACTTAACAATGAAATGATGCACTTCTAATACAAATTACATATAAAATCTGACATATTACTTCCTTATTGAAGTCAACTTGCCATTTACCGTAATTAATGTTCCTAACAAAAATTTATAAAAACATATGATCATTTTGATACCAAACAGGACCATATTATCTTTCAGGAAAAATATAAAAAAATACATATTTCATATACAATATACATGAATTTGAAATGACATGAACATTAAAATACATGGGTATAATTACAATACTAATTAATAAACTTGCATTATAAAATTTACATTATAACAATATATGTATATATGACACACGTTTCCCAAATATATTACATCTTTAATAGAGGACACTATTTATTTCGTAATAATAATAATAATAATAATAATTATAATAATAAAAATAATAATAATAATATTATTATTATTAATAATAATAATAATTATATGGTTTGAAAATCGTCTTTGAATTAAGAAGGAGATATCTTCAAATATTTCCTCATTTTCTGTTACCTGGAGGATTACTCTTTTAAGAGTCAAGAGGGTTTGCACAAATATTTGAGGTAAAACTTCGAAATTGTTTCTTTGAAGTCGACAAAAAAAGAAATTTTTGAGAAATCGAAGTGCGAAATCGTATTGTTTAAAAAAAAAAGGTTTTGCCACAAAAAGCATACCGTGAAAAATCTTTAGGACAAACTCATAGAAAGAAAGAAATATTCAATGATCTATCTTAACTGAACTGTTTTACCTATATTTAAGCCTAAATCCGCATTTTGTCATGTATAACTCGCTCGCAAGCGGAAGTTATATAGCGGACATTTGAGTGTACGGGTGTGAAAAGTAAACAGGCTCGTGACCCACTTGTTGCAGGATGTTAAGCGACCTACTTAAAGCCCTCGTATGCTTTAACAATGTTCAAAATGGAGCTCAAGTGATATACAGACTGTTGTGCAATACAAAAATAAGTAGAAAGTAGACGAATGTACATGTTTATTCAATAGCATAACAATTCGTTCAACAATGCAATTAAGTACAACATATCTTGCATAAAGTTAATGTATTTGTACTATTTATGATACACTTACTTTTGACTGAGAAACTCCCTTTTACAGCTTTACAAAAGATAGCTTGACATTTGAAACAAGTAATTTGTACATGTAGACAAAGCATTATGGAAATTTATTCATAAATCTGATATTTTGTTAAGCACATTGGAGATGCTGAAGGGCTAAAATAGTACTTTAAGTTTGCAAGACCTCATGTTGCGTGACTTTGCCATATTTGGGAGGGATGGCTGATTCTACGCGACTTTTACTGGCGCGCGACGATTTAGCTGCGTGACCTTGCCTAATTTGGAATGACGAATGATTATATCTAAAATTAACTAAGCTGTACCAATGACATAGACTGTTAATGACTCAATTGTTGTACACAAAATGATTAAGAGATAACCAGTTTAAAAATGTTGGCCAGATATACTATCTAAAAACAATACTCCTTGTAGAGGACTAGTTTCAAATTTCACAATATTGTAGCTATTATATATGGTGGCTGATTTGTGACATTCGTGTTTTCGCCCCAGCTATAAGTCGAAAATAAACAAGTTAAAATGGCGGGGCGCGGAGCGAAAACACGCTAATAAGCGAGGGCGCGGGGCGAAGTTTAATAGATAAAACTTCGTCCCGCGGGGGCGCGGAGCGAGATTTAAGAATTAAAACGGCGGGGTCGCGGGACGAAAACACGTTAATTAGCAGGGGCGCGCGGCGAAGTTTTATTTATTAGATTTCGCCCGGGGTATGTACCCCCTCCTGTTTCGGGGGTTTGAAGGGGGCGGCAGCCGCCCTCATCGCCAAAAAGATTTTGGACATGTGAAAGGCTTAAAATGGCCTTCGGGTCGATCGTAAGGTAATGGTTACCAACGCTGAAATTCCCTTTACTCTGTCTCAATCCATTGAGAAGTTGCAACACTTTGAAATCAGTTTTGATGGAAAAAAACAATGGAAAAAAAATAGTGATTTTTGCCAATTTTGAGACGTCCCCAGTTGCCATGGTAAGAGGAAATTAAAGATTGAGCATGCTGTTACAAAGGCTATGGTCCAGTCAACATTTGTGCCAAGTTTCATCAGTACTGAAGCATTTTTCATAGTTTCATAGCAGTTTGAACTTGTAACAGGAGGCTTTTTAATGAAAACGGCCATTTTTCACAATATGCTCATGCGGTGAAGGGTAAAGTAAAGTTTTTTTTTGAAGCGTCCATGGCATGTGCATAACAATGTTTGAAGACTGGTTGTATTAAGTTTAGGCTGTAAATGAGATTAATTTGATACGCAAAAATGGATGACGCCAGCAATAATTCTCAACACTGGAGAGGGCTGATGACTCTCGGTATCCGGTACGCCCTGGGTCGTATATCAATTATTGTCAATGAGTAGGCCCTAATTATATTTCAAGATAAAGTTTAAATCGATATATTGGTCATCATATATATGATAAATTGATCAATTAAAAATTTAAATACCACAAATAACTACAAATATCAAAACCAAAGCAGTTAATTCGTTTCCCTTTATGTATGATACGACCCCGGATTCCGTGCTTTCCGGATCGCAGGTCACGTTATTGTCCTGTACAATCACGTGGTACTAGAAAATCAAATCACTGAGGTATACATTGCTTGATAATATAATCCATTTTTGTCATCAAGGCCATGTTAAATTTTTAACCTACTGATCGGGTCATCTTCTGGCCAAGGTCAATGTCCGTAACAAGTGACTGAAACTAAGGCTTATTTCTTCCAAAGTTATTACGTATGAGGCAAGACAGAAGCTGATAGATGAGCAATAAAGAAATCAGTTTGTGAAACAGCCGTAACTGCAGTATAGAAAATTGAAACACTAATATTGAGTCTTTAGTGATGCTATCTAATGAAAGACAAGACCTGGCTTGAACTCTATACACATTCAAATAATTGAATCATCCTACAAGACTTAATTACCAAATTATAGTACATCCTTTTATATAGCTTTCCATGTTACAGATCTATGTACTGTACTTTGATGCATTATAAAATATATATTCTGGTGTGTTACACATTAAATTTTGAAATGAATTACTTTATCGTTTATTAATATACATAAATGAAATCTATAATCAAATCAATTTAGATGTACTTTAATATTTTCATTGTTAAATAATTGTTACATAATAGTCTGCATATACAACCTTTCCAACAAATTCATTTATATTTGACAGAAAGTTAACAAGTTTTTTTTTTCTCCATAATCAGGCTATTTGACCAACTTCT